GGAACTACAGGCACGCACTATCACACCCAGCTAATTTTTTGATTTATTGTAGAGATGAGGGCTCGCCAAATTGCCCAGGCGGGTCTCGAACCCGTGGTCTCAGGCAATCTATTCACCTCAGCCTCCCAAAGCACAAGATAACAGGCTGAGCCACCGAGCCCGGCTTCCATTCTCTTATTTAAAACCTTATTTTCTTCAGATAAGGAGAGAATCCAACTATTATCAGTGTTAACACCTGTGGCTTGAAGAGGCTTGCCCAAGTTTTCCCTCATTCTAACTGAACAAGACCTTCTGTAACAGTTTTTCAGAAGCATCAATGAAGAATGCACAACAGGATAAACAAGCAGGTCATGGTATTTTTTGCAACAAAGGTGTATACACGCTTTCTAAATGCGTTTTCTGACCTACACCATAGGAAAAGGAAGCTATCCCACTCACTTCTGAGTCTTCTGCGCTTTCATAATCCGAGAGAACAGCTGAAAGAAAAAGGAAAAATGTGAAAAAAAATTATAATTACATTTCCTGACTGCCTACTGTGAGTCAGATCAAGAATCTCATTTAATTCTAGATAAACCTATGCGGCAGATAAAATTATAGTACCCGTTTACAAACAGAGAAATAGGCTCAGAGAGTGACTTGCTCAAACCCTACTGCTAAAACCTGTTTTCAACCACTATGCTACAAAAAGCCACTCTGTGGTCCTAAATTCATAAGAGCCTGAAAGGATGTCAACTGTTGGAAATAAGTAATCTGAGTTCATGTGCAAAAAACTCTTCTCATAAAGTGGTAAAAGATGCTACTCACCATCACCCTCGATGCCATCTTCACTCTCCTGAAGAGAAACAGAATATATGGGTTAGCTCTGGGACTTCCAGAGGTGGACGGTCCACAAAAGAAATGTGGGAGGGAAACCGAAAGCTCAACACAAAATGGTTGAATAGGAAGATGGGGAAATATAAATCTTTAACAAGTAGTATCCGAGACAGGTCCAGTTCTTCACCTCCACTCCTAATTTCTGAATAAACATCCACCTTCCATCTGCTGCAGCTCTGCCCTCCTCCCAGAAACCCCCCAACCCTTCCTCTTCCCTTGGGGCTCCGGATACAAACTCGCACAGGGATAACCCTCCTCTTCTCTAACAGAAGAATATGCCCCAGCATCTACCATGAACTCCCAGCCTGCCGTCAGCACCCACGCCCCGCCCCGCCCC